GTCACAGGGGTTGAAATATGTTAAAATCTTCAAACAACTTCTTCTCAATAACCAAAAGGCCCAGGGTACTGATATTGGGCCTGTAGCATGCTGGGATGAAGGGCTATCAAGTTTGTTTAACTGAATGACCTTGACCAACTTTCAAGGTCACAGGGTCAAATGTCGTAAAATCTTCAATGAACTTCTTTTCAATAAGCAAAAGGGCCAGGGTACTGAAATTGGGCCTGTAGCATGCTGGGATGAAGGACTACCATGTTAGTTCAAATGAATGACCTTGATCCACTTTCAACCTAATGTCCTTGTTCAACAATTAAGGTCAGAGGCGTCATATGTTTTAATCTTTTAATAGGTTCTTATGAAATCTTAAGATTACAAGTGTTAGATTAATAACAGGTGAGCGATGCTGGCCCATTGGGCCTCTTGTTTCACTATTAACGTGAAAAATGTAAAAAAAATGCTTCGAAAAGAATGATTTCATATATTTTCATTGGATATTTTACAATAATTCATGAAGCTAACAAGGCTATTGATACAATATCAAGCCAGATTACCTGAGCGAGAACTTGAAGGTGTTTTGAATGTTGTACAGGTAAATTCCAACTTCAGTCAGCCTTGTTGGCTTTGTGCTTAGTTATGATTTATTCCATGGAAATATATGGCATTATTCTGGAGATTTGACACATTTTCTTTCATTATTCTCGATAAAAGTGAATACACAGGTACTTCAGGAATGCATGTATAGGTAATTTTTTTCATTAATTTCATTATTCATTGAAATGTTTAATGGCGTTGACATAACGTCCGGAAACGAAAGTAAAAACACTGCCCTCTGGTGATGGTCATTTTAAAGTACTGTGTTTGACCAGACTCTTGAATTAAAAGTGATCAAGCATCTGGTTGAACGAGACTAGTATTTGTGTGGTGTACATGCAGCATATGATATGTATGCTACAATATAGATTACAATAATACCTATATGAAATGAAAAATATTTCCTACATATTTACACAAAGGGGATGTATCATGTAGATGTTAGATGTATTAATTACAATATGCTTTATAAGAACTATTGGAAGCTAATTTGTGTGTATATTTATTTAGAGAATACCGATGTGTAAAAGTGTGGCGCAAGAATATTTCATTATCACTGATAATGTAGATGTGTAATGTATAGCAATGAAAACAGGAAGAACTATATAAGTATGTTACTATTGACACTATAGCATGTTAACACATGGTGTTAAAGTATTCTAAAAAAATCTATAAAGAATGCAACCATGATTATTATAAATGCATATTTAATTTATTTATGTAAAGCAATTACCAATATGGTATTTGTTATAGTCGATCTTACATAAACGTGTTATTATATAAATCAGATCTTAAAATTTTCTATGAATAAAATGGTGTATATCATGTATTATTAATAAATAGTAACACTGAACAGTCAACTTCAAATATGTATGCCTCTCAAGTCATGTAATGAAGGGAGTGCATATTATTTTATTGCCAGCCAAAACCATACATTATTTTTCAAAAATTCATGACAAACAAATTCCATCTACTGTCAACACTCGGCGTTGATTGTGATAAACAAAAAAAAGAAACAGATTTTATACATAGGTAAAAAAACATAACAGAAGCAAAATTTTGGTACAGGAAACACATTTTACAGAATCTTATATATATAATCCGCCTGAAGAAGCCCTAGAAGGCAGAAAGGCCTAGCGGACGATCTGAAAAATTTGTTTTTATTCTATATTTTCCTTCGCAAGGACTTATTCATTTATTATCTACAATATATATATATATATATATACTGCCATACATAAAAGCAGAATGGCAACGGGAGACAATACATAGTTTTAGTACAATACAAAGTAGAGGACTGAGTGTAACTACTGTATATATCAATCAAGTCCTTCAACTGTGAAGTCATAGATTCATATAATGATAAAGATGGTAGACTTGTTGGTTAATGTTAAAATAAATGATAACATATGCACAATTGTAAATATATAAGCAACCTAATACCTAATGATAGCAAAAGAAGAAAGACATTTTACAAAGAGGTAAGTGCTTCATGCATAAAAACTTATACTTTCGGCCTAAATATCATTGGGGAGAAGACATTTTACAAAGAGGTAAGTGCTTCATGCATAAAAACTTATACTTTCGGCCTAAATATCATTGGGGGAGATTGGAATGAAATTCAACAAGCATGTGTTATAACCAAGAAATTAAGTAAAATTATGCTTTTAAATTAACGAAGCTGGATTAATAGACCCATAGAGGCAAAAACACCCAGATATGTCAACAATTTACATGGAAACGGAAAAATATTAACACTGAAGCTAGCAAAATTTTCTTCTTATTGCAAAAAGAAGTAATCTATAAAATTATACCAACAGATATCGACCTAGTTAGGGCCCCGTATCAGAGATACGGGTGCCCGATAGTAATTACTGGCTAATAACTTTGTTATTTATTGACCGATGTACTTGAAACTTGGTCAAGATGTTCAGTTCACAAAAATACACATTGAGGTAAAAAGTCAAGGTCAAAGGTCAAGGTCATTAGAACTAAACAAGGAGTCAACTAACCAAAGGTCAAGGTCATTGGATCAAATGTCAAGGTTAAATTTTGTTCCTTTTCCCTGATGAACATTTTGATATGACATTATGAAGCAATGTTGTTCAGAACTTAACACAGAGTCATCTGACCTTAGGTCCAGGTTTCGGGGTCCAAAGGGTCAAGGTCAAGTTTTGTATTTTTCACTGAAGAACATTATGTTATGATATTAAGAAGCAAAGTTGGTCGGAATTGAAGAATAAGTCAACTGCCCAAAGATCAGGGTCACTGGGTTAATGATCAAGGCCATTTGGGTCCAAAGGTCAAAGACAAAGTGGATCTCTGACTTTGACCCTGGCTCGTGATGGAGGAGGTATATAAGGTGAAATATAACAAAGCAAAGCTAACAAATAAGTATTGCACCTGTATTTACAATTCTGTGAGCCCAGCAAATATGGAGGTGGCAGGAAACAAGACTCACATCATAGTACATGTAAAATGTATATTTTGCTTCCTTGCGATTCTTTTTGAAGTCCAAATCTCAAACGTCAAGCTCAGCTATACGGGCAGATTGCTTCTTAAGGGGGATATATTGCCACAAGACGGGGCCCTTACTGACCTGTCAGTGTTCTAGTTTTAATAAGATATACAGATCATCAAGCTGTATCGCTGGTGTTGGATGTTACGAATGTTAAGTATTACATCTTCAGTCCATTTCCAGGGTAAAGGAAATTAAATAAAAGTCTATTGAATAACATAGAGTATCAAAAGGTAATATTTAAAAACTTTAAACAAATGTAATACCATGGAAAACATTAATAAAATGACTACTTGAATGAGATGGGATTTATGTAAAATTGAAATACTTGAACAATCAATATAGTTTTGAAAGAAATAATCTAGCTTGAGAAAAAATATTATAAAAGAATTAAATAAAATTAATGAAAGTATTAACACAAAATAATGCAGAGGAAGGTGCAAATAATCAGTTGAAGAGAAGATTAATCACATGATGTTTTCAAGGTAATAGGAAGTCAAATCAGACGGAGAACAAAATTGGTCAAACAAGGGGAAAATATACAAAAGACTTTCTGTCACTGAAAAAGGGGAGACAACTTCAAAAGACCGTTACCAAACTATGCAATGAAGAAGGCAAGATGTTAACAAATCAAGATGACATATTGAAACATCGAAATTTAAAAAAAAAAAATGAAACTATACTTGGCAAGTAATCCAAGTAAACAAGAAATAAACTAATACTAATAGACTCAATTAATTTTGAATCAATATAATTAACTGAAGAAAGCTTTAAATGTGAAGGACTATTAAAAGAAAAAGAATGTTGACTGTAGAATTTTATCAAACATTTTCGCCACTTTAAAAAGTTATAGTGGAAGAATGTCTGAAAGATATTACTTGAACAAGATTTAAATCGGCCTACAATTGTTCAATGTATTTTCTCACTATGATAACTCAATTATCATACAGTGATATTAAGCAAACACACTTCCAATTTATTCCAAAATTTGTTTGTCTCAAAAAAATAATGATATAGAATTATCGTGTCTTTCATCTACAAAATATCAAAACACTGATAGCTGTTTGTCTATGATGATGGTGTTGACCAATGTTGGATAGAAGGGTCCTCTGTAACAGATCACAACCATGTACTAAGGTACAAATGAACACTGCCTGTTAGAAGGAGACAATTAGTCTCGGGACTTGCAACAACATATGTTAACTATATGTATGTCCCTAGGAATGGGGTCAGGCTCCAGAATTCTAATCATTGTGTTCATCCCTTGATGCCCATCAATTGCATAATGTACATTGTTATGGGGTGGGGATCTCGACCATTTAAAGCATTTCAAAATTATTTAGTGCCTAAGGGTGAGGCCAGAGTCGATTCTAATATGATGATTGTGTTAATCTCTTTTATCATTTATGCCCAGCGTCTGTATATATGGTTATAGGATTGGGATCTCCACAGCTTCTAAGTTTATGACTCCGGGACTAAGTCTCCAAGGGAAACATCAATGTTGACATCTCGATTGTATTATGTACAATGTACAAGTTATCCTAGCAGGATCTTGGCGTCCACCGTCACACCATCTTCATTAGTTCCATGTCAGGTTGATCTTTTCTCTTATCTGTTTGATCAAGTCATGTAAACCTTGCAAGTAACTTTGATCTAAACTTCAAACTGCTGTGTATAAAAGACAACCTTCTAAGTGAGTTTGTACCCCCACAACTATATATATCATTGTTTGGCACCAAGAGGTGAACACATTTTGATAATAGAATTGACCCTGCAGGTGTCTAGCCCCACCCCTAGGGACTTATTTTAACAAAAGTCAATTATCAATAAATGGGTCATGCCTGTCTATGAAGAGTAATAATTATGTTGTTTCTGATGCTTTCTACTTTAGATATGAGAAAAACAGAATCTATACCTATATCGGGGAGGTGATTGTTTCCGTCAATCCGTACCGTACATTGGACATCTACAACAATACCTATGTTGACCAATACCGAGGGCGCGAGATCTATGAACGACCCCCACACATATTTGCCCTGGCTGACAGTGCTTACAAGACAATGAAAAGGAGCAGTCGAGACACATGCATCGTCATATCAGGTACAAAGTCTTGTAGAAGGATTCATGTATTGCATTTGAGCTTAGGCATTTTAAGTTTTCTTCCTTTCTCATAATAGAATATTTTGAGGACTGGAACTTTTAAAGAAAAATTCAGCTTTCCAGCATGAAGCAAAGTATTAATTGGGCTGTAAAGTTTACTGAGTAATCACTGACTTACAACTTAGGAAGGCAAGGATAGGACCTTTTCTGATTGTAGTAGTTTCCATCAGATGTAATTTCAAATAACAGTTTTTTTGCAGAATTTCAGAATTTTGTAAATTGAAATATGCTAATTTCGGTTATGTTGCAGGTGAAAGTGGCTCAGGGAAGACTGAAGCATCCAAAATTATCATGAGGTACATTGCCGCGGTGACCAATCTCGGTGGGCAGAAGGAAGTTGAAAGGTATAATGACCAAATATACATAGTTTCAATATGAATCTCGCTAATTATTAGACAGAATCATAAATTTTATCTGTAGAATGAAGGAAATCTGTATATATTATGTATGACTAACTGAAATATAAAATACATTCAAGCTAATATGTGTACGAATAATAGTGATCTACAGGTCAGTTTCTATAATATTTACCTCACCAGCCTGAACACCAAGTGAACTTGTATTAGAATCTATCACGTTTTTTAAGTAAATGACTTTCATAGATTTTCAACATCACAAGGGTCAAATTTTTTAAAGCCTTGTAAAAGGTTGATCCTGTACCTTTGTTTAGTCCATTTAAATGTGTTTGACTTTTGTCCATTTGGAGAGTACCATTTGGCCTCTTGTCAATGAATTCTTGAAAAGTGTTTACAAAAATATTTCATTTGAAACTGTGTACATAGACCTTTCAGTTAGGTGCAACTGTGTGATTAAATAGATCAATGTGTTATATTTTTCATCGTATGGCATTGCCACTCATTTAGGCTATGAACGCTAAATTGTTACGTTGAATGCCAATGATCTGCCCTGGGCGTTGGCTGTTTATTCATTGAACATGAATTTTTAATAAGATGAACATACTCCAAAAATGGTAAATGTATGTTTTGAACTGCTTTCAGTTGGCATTCTTAGGCAATATGAATTCCAACTGAACAAAGGCAAACCCAACATGGAATCAGCTCTTCTTTGAATTTACTTTTGTCAAGTTGGCATTCATATTACCTATGAATGTCGACTGAAAGCAGTTGAATGCTTGAATATTAAGTCATTTGTATACCAACCAGAAATACTTGGGCAATGGACAGTCATCTTACTGTACTATTTTCTTAAACATGAAGTCTTATCAGACAATAATGTCTGTTGCAAAAATTGATTATACTGGTATAATAGGGAGATGTCTTGTTCCAGCTTTCTGTCCCCCTTCCTGTCATGACTGGATTAGGTTGACTATATGCTCATAAACTTTATTATTTACACTTATAATTATTTCCCTAAGAAAAGTGTTAATTTTTAAGAATTATATCTATGGCTTTTTAGAATTGCCAAAGTTGCAAGCATTTTAGCTGCACCATGCAAAACTGCTTTCTTGATTTTAGATTTCTATGGAAAGGAAGATACAAATCACACTAAGGATTGAAAATATCCTTCAGTTTGTTTAGTCCAATGATTTGCCAGTTACCATTCTATTTACACATGTACAACAAATGATGTATTTGAAAAAAAATGTAAAGCACAGAAAAAACTGAGGATCTTTACATAACATGTACAACGTACAGTAAGGTTTTTTTTCGACTGCAGGCTTCCAATAACTGAGTACTGACAAATCACATTATACAATGTATTTTACTATTTTTACAGGAATGAGGTAGCAAGGTAAAGATTTGAAATCCTGTAGTATAATCGTGTTCACAAAAAAACTACAAAATGTGTGAATGTCTGCTAAGGATAACGTTGCATTATCTTTGCATGCACCATCTGATTGAAACACAATCTTTCTTATAGCATTTTAGAAAATATTCCAAACCTGCTGTTATACTATCACCTGCGTAACTTCTATGTCATCTTTATTATACAGTCCCACAAACTATTTCTAGTCAAAAATGATGTCGCATGAAGTGCCAATTATATCTATAAATAAAATTTAGTACAGTTATAATGTTATAAAATTCAAATTAGTTTCCTAAAATTATTTGAAATTACTAAGGTTTTGGCCAATTGATACGTAAATAATAATGAAAAAAATATTTGAGCTGTTGGATCACTGTTTCCTGTTTTTTAAATTCTTCCCTGATACTATTATATTAAAATATTTATTTGTATTTCATTTTAATGATGATTGCCATGGTATCAAGCTGATATTTTCATAAATTAGTGAAATTTGAATTCAGCCATTTTTTTTTTAGTTTTTTGCATAGTTCTTCTCTTGCAAAATTTGAGAGTATATATGCTTTAACATACCGTAAATTTGCGTATAGCGCACACTTTTTTAGGTAAATATTGTCATTCCAAAAAGGGGGTGCGCACTATACGCAGGAACAAGTCATTCTTGAGTTATCGTTCTCTAGTTTCTGGTCCGCCATATTGGATTACCTACCTTCAAATAGTTTTATATTGAGTTGTCGGTCATATCAGAGACGTTATTATTCATCTCTGGTCATATATGATTAAAATTACAACAAAGAATGAAATTCTTTGGCAACACAATTTTTACCTTCTCTTAACTTATTAAAATCGGTAATCCGTGGTCATGACTGCTGATTTGGCGACAAACACTAGCTGGGCACGTAACATTTTTTACAAATTGACCGGAGGGCATACCGTCTGATCCCAGACAATAGGCTAGGTAGGATCATCATGCTTCAGCGAAAATTATTGACACTTCTCAACACCACAGTAAATACAGTAATTAGCTAACACTCTTTCAGTGATTACCGATTAACAATAGCTCTGAGCAATTTAATTGAAATTATTTGCAGTCGCGACTGAGGGACCGTGATGTTTTCACTTCTCAACACGTGGCACTGTTAGAACTACAGACTGATTTGACCGTAAAGGGATTATAAAACATTCAACACATCCCCTTCAAATCTACTAGAAGGAAAAAAATAAAAGCAGAATACACTATTTTTATGATGCTTCATAATATTGAAATAATTCACGAGGTTATTGATGCCGTCAACATGAAAGTGAGCCGGTAAAAAACATGCACACTCTAGGCTTAGCGATTTGGTAAAAAAAACCACACCAGAACTAACATGGAACGGAGCCTGTAATTGAAACACTACATTTTCGTAATTATGAGAAAACCGCTGAGATGTCGAAACATTAGTTGATCAGCGATTTTCTGGCATCGTAATTGGCTACACTCGTCCACCAAGCGGTACGGAGGGAGACCTTCATGGGCTTGTTGACTCCAATCAATCAGTCGTTAATTAATCGGTGTTATAAACACCAAGCTACATTTGATGCTACTTTTCCTGTTTGATACCGTTTATTTTTAGGACTTCATTCTTTCATGGATTTTGGTCAAACTTTCTGCAAAGGTCAAGTATGAGTATACTTTGGACATTGTTGTGTTTCAGGGTTCCAAGGTCAAGGCCAAGGTCACTGTTGCTATATATAGAAAATCATCAACTGATTCAATTTAAACACTAAGCAACTTCATTCGTTCACAGATTTTGGTCAAACTTTATACAAAGGTTGAATATGGGTATACCTCCGACATCCTTGTGTTTCAGGGTTCCAAGGTCAAGGCCAAGGTCACTTGCTATATATAGAAACTGATTCAATTTAAACACTTAACAACTTTATTCAATATGTTATGGAGATGGTAATAACATACAGAAAAAACATATGAATATTAAAATCAACTTATCAACTTTAAGTGTAGTTCCTTAGTTTAGTGTTATATCTCGGAAAGAACTGGAGGGATTTTTCTCGTTGATTGGAAAAACAAGATGGCCAAAAGACGAGTCATCTTGAATTTTGACAATTAAAGTTTAGTTGTGACCACTGTTTCTGAAGAAGTACAGGACAGATCTTTATCACATTTCATCATATGTTGATTTTCAGTGGTACCTTTAGTTGTACATGATTGATTTTGATTCTAAAAAACAATGGATCGAAGGGATATAACAAGAGAGAAATTCAACCTTTCACAGAACCTTTAAGAAAGACGGTACAAATTGGCCAACACCATGATCCGTCTAGATCTGGGATCCCTTTTTTAGCAACAATTCTGTTTTCTGCCTCACGATCACTGCTTCGTGTGATATTTGAATTGTGTTAGATCTTTCCTTTACTGTGAAATGTTCTTTTTTATGTTTAATAATTATTTCATGTAGTTGCATTGCTTTATTTAATTGTTAATTGAAAAATTGGAGATTATGTCATCTCATGCTTTTCATTAACGCAATAATGTTTCTTTCCATTTCGTTTCTTAATTACTGATATTGTATCAATTGTTTGCTTTCAATTTTATTTGCTGTGAATTTAAGAAAATACTTCAAATCTTGATCGATCACAATGCAGCTTCAAGTTTTCAGAGATCGTTCGATTAAAATACACAGGGTGATCATGAGTCTTCCTTAGGCACAAAATGAAAAGTCTGGGACAAACCTAGAGACTTAGTTACATCTAATCGTCTTTATAAAAAAGACAATGAAGACATTTCTTGGGGATAAAAAATATGTATTATGAAAGTCAAAAGTCAATTGCATATGAAATGAAATATAAAACTTCTATTTGAATAAAGAAGGCAGGTAGCCTTTTCATTTCAGCAGTTTAAATATACTTTATTTTTCTCTGAAAAACAATACATAACTTAGTGAGTTATGGTACGTATGTCATGTTGATATTATCTCATAATTTCGTATTTCTTCATCAGCCCTATTTCTTGTTATTTGCTGAAAAACAGTCTTTCTCCTTTTTTCCCCCTCCTGCTTCTGAAATGAAATTCTTAGTATGATTCTATATTGCCAGTTCATGAGATTATAAATTTTTAGCTCACCTGCCCGAAGGGCAAGTGATCAGCTTATGCTGTACCACGGCGTCTGGCGTCAACTTTTCCCTTTAAAAGCCTTTATCTCCTGAACGACAGATTGGAGGAATTTAGCTAAATTTGATATGAGGCATCCTTGAGACCAGGGACTCAATGGATTTATGAAATAAGGGTGTGGCCCCCTAGGGGGCTGAGTGAGGGGCTAAAAAGGGGGGGGGGGGGGATTTGGGAAAATTTTAAAAATCTTTTTCTTTAGTTATAAAAACACTAGGATCAATACTACCCATAGCTGTAAAGGAATTTGGGGGGTTTATACAATTTGTGATTTTCATGTTTTACCAGGGCCCCTGTTTGCCCCTGAGGAGGGGGTAAAAAGGAAATAGACATGACGGGCCATATCTTCCGTTGTTTTAAAAATAATTTGTTCATATTTAAGAGAAATACTTATTAGTGGAGAAGGGTCTGCTGGTATAAATCGTGTGAGTCTGCCCCCCTAGGGGGCTGAGTTAGGGGCCGAAAAGGGGGGGGGGGGGGGAGAAATTAGGGAAATTTCAAAAATCTTCTTCTCCAGTTCTTGAAGTGCTAGAATCAAATACTACTCCTAGCTGTAAGGCCTTTAGGTGGTTTATGAAATTTGTGATTTTCATGTCTCTCAGGGCCCCCCTTTGCCCCTGAGGAGGGGGTGAAATTTAGTATAGTTTATATATGAAAAAGACATAATAGGCCATATCTTCCAATGTTTTGAACGGAATTTGCTCATATTTGACAGATATACTTGTTAGGGTAGGGAGGTCTGATGGTATGATATTTATGAGTCTGATTCCCTAGGGGGCTGAGTTAGGGGCCCAAAAGGGGAGAAATTTGGGAACATTTCAAAAATCTTCTTCTCTAAGTTATACAAATGCCAGGATCAAATACTACCCATAGCTGTAGCTGTAAAAGCGTTTGGGTGGTTTATACAAATTGTTATTTTCATGTCTACCAGGCCCCCCGTTTGACCCCTGGCCATGGTGAGGGGGTGAAATTTAGTATAGTTTATTAGCTCACCTGGCACGAAGTGCCAAGTGAGCTTATGCGATGGTGCGGCGTCCGTCGTCCGTCCGTCCGTCCGTCCATCCGTCCGTCCGTCCGGCGTCCGGCGTCAATATTTTACTTTAAACGACTTCTTCTTAATAACCAAAAGGCCTAGGGTGATGATATTTGGCCAGCAGCAAACTGGGATGAAGGGCTACAAAGTTTGTTCAAATGAATGACCTTCACCCATATTCAAGGTCACAGGAGTCAAATATGTTAAGAACTTTAAACATCTTCTTCTCAATAACCAAATTGCCCAGGGAGATGATATTTGGCCAGTAGCATGCTTGGATGAAGGGCTACCAAGTTTGTTCAAATGAATGACCTTCAATTTTATTCAAGGTCACAGGGGTCAATTGTCTTAAAAAACCTTTAAACAACTTCTTCTGAATAACCAAAATCCCCAGGGTGATGATATTTGGCCAGTAGCATGCTTACATGAAGGGCTACAAAGTTTGTTCAAATGAATGACCTTCACCCATATTCAAGGTCACAGGGGTCAAATATGTTAAAAACTTTAAACATCTTCTTCTCAATAACCAAATTGCCCAGGGAGATGATATTTGGCCAGTAGCATGCTTGGATGAAGGGCTACCAAGTTTGTTCAAATGAATGACCTTCAATTTTATTCAAGGTCACAGGGGTCAATTGTCTTAAAAAACCTTTAAACAACTTCTTCTGAATAACCAAAATCCCCAGGGTGATGATATTTGGCCAGTAGCATGCTTACATGAAGGGCTACAAAGTTTGTTCAAATGAATGACCTTCACCCATATTCAAGGTCACAGGGGTCAAATAT